CATCATACACCACTCATCATACACCACTCATCATACACCACTCATCACACACCACTCATCATACACGACTGATCACACACCACTCATCATACACCAGTCTTCATACACCGCTCATACACCAGCTCTGGTGTCAACAGCTCAAGCTCCAGGCAAATCCAGCTCCACGTGCAGATTTCGTGGCAGGTGCAGCACTTTGTGAACCTCCATGTGCAGATTTCGTGGCAGGTGCAGCACTTTGTGAACCTCCATGTGCAGATGTCGTGGTAGGCGCAGCACTTTGTGAACCTCCATGTGCAGATTTCGTGGCAGGCACAGCACTTTGTGCACCTCCATGTGCAGATTTCGTGGCAGGCGCAATACAAAATGCGTTGCGGAGAGATAGCGAACGCACGAAATGCTGTATTTTTCAATGGAACCGGTGGCTCCGAAGCTGGCAAGTCAAGGTCTGCGGAACGACGGTTGCGAGACGGTCTCGGGTCATGCTCGGATCATTCTCGGAATCGTCCGTCCATTGGGATTAGAGTTTTCACTTGTTTCTTGAAGTGAAGATTTCGTGGCAGGTGCAGCACTTTGTGAACCTCCATGTGCAGATTTCGTGGCAGGCGCAGCACTTTGTGAACCTCCATGTGCAGATTTCGTGGCAGGTGCAGCACTTTGTGAACCTCCACGTGCAGATTTCGTGGCAGGCACAGCACTTTGTGCACCTCCATGTGCAGATTTCGTGGCAGGCGCAATACAAAATGCGTTGCGGAGAGATAGCGAAGGCACGAAATGCTGTATTTTTCAATGGAACCGGTGGCTCCGAAGCTGGCAAGTCAAGGTCTGCGGAACGACGGTTGCGAGACGGTCTCGGGTCATGCTCGGATCATGCTCGGATCCTGCTCGGATCATGCTCGGAATCGTCCGTCCATTGGGATTAGAGGTTTCACTTGTTTCTTGAAGTGAAGATTTCGTGGCAGGCGCAGCACTTTGTGAACCTCCATGTGCAGATGTCGTGGCAGGCGCAGCACTTTGTGAACCTCCATGTGCAGATTTCGTGGCAGGTGCAGTACTTTGTGAACCTCCATGTGCAGATTTCCTGGCAGGCACAGCACTTTGTGAACCTCCATGTGCAGATTTCGTGGCAGGCACAGCATCTGGAGAGCTGGAAGCTGAGAACTGGCGACTTTGTAGTACAACTTTAGTACGCGGAGTATCTGGCGAGCTGGACGATGAGAACTGGCGACTTTGTAGTACAACTTTAGTACGCGGAGTATCTGTGGAGCTGGAAGCTGAGAACTGGCGACTTTCTAGTACAACTCTAGTACGCGGAGCAATCTGTAGAGCTGGAAGCTGAGAACTGGCGACATTGTAGTACAACTTTAGTACGCGGAGTATCTGGCAAGCTGGACGATGAGAACTGGCGACTTTGTAGTACAACTTCAGTACGCGGAGCAATCTGTGCAGCTAGAAGCTGAGAACTGGCGACTTTGTAGTACAACTTTAGTACGCGGAGTATCTGTGACGCTGGATGGTGAGAACTGGCGACTTTCTAGTACAACTTTAGTACGCGGAGCAATCTGTAGAGCTGGAAGCTGAGAACTGGCGACTTTGTAGTACAACTTTAGTACGCGGAGTATCTGGCGAGCTGGACGATGAGAACTGGCGACTTTGTAGTACAACTTTAGTACGCGGAGTATCTGTGGAGCTGGAAGCTGAGAACTGGCGACTTTCTAGTACAACTTTAGTACGCGGAGCAATCTGTAGAGCTGGAAGCTGAG